AAAAAAATTGTTTTTCCGTTAGCAGAAAATTTGGTCCAGGTAGTCTATATATTTATTGAGTTCATTTATAATTATAGTATACAGTATATTTGTCAATAAAGTTATTGCTGCTGATTTTGTTCAAATTTTGGAATTTAAAATCTTTAATTTATATTGAACTAGTTTTGGGAAGTAGTAAAAAATTTATATAATATATATAAATTTATATAATAATAAGAATGGACTTCTAATTTTGAAGTTTGCATAATATGTATTTTTTTAAAATATGATAGTACTGTATTAACAAAAATGTATATATTAATTTAAGTAGATGAATGTTTAAATAAATTTTTGGCAAAAAATTTTTATTATACCTACAAAACTAGGAAGTAGAAATAGTACTCATCAAGAAAATCTCTACCCAGGTATTTATTAAATTACCTGGTTATCCGGGTAATTTAGTATAGCCATATCTACTCGGGTACAATAGATTTTAAAATCGTCACAATAATTAATATCACAAGACTTTTAACCAATCAAAATTAATGTAAATCATCTGATAATACTTAGCTCTAAAAATTCTTTTTTATACCCTTTTGCGCCAAAAATTTTATTTCATTCATATATGAGTGCATAAGAATAAAAACCAGAAAATAAAATTTTTTTAACCCTGATGAATTGTGTCATTACGTAATTTATCATGCATATAATTAGTATTCTAATCATTTCTATCATAATCAAGTACTGCGGTATCACGCTTTTTTTTTTTAACAAGTAATTTAAATTATAAGAACAATATAAAAAATTGTGAGAAAAATTATACATCACAAAACTTAGAACATTTCTTAGTAAGACTATACAAATTTATTGTCTTGGTTTTTATAACAATAATCTTTTAAACAGGTCTGGCCAATCGACTTTTTTTTTACATAAAAATGTTATAGCTATTATTATAAATTCTGAAACACCAAGTAAAAATTTGCTGACCAATTTTTAGCCGATTTAGTTAAATTATTGAATTTGGCTTGATTGGTATATAAAAAAATTATGTCAACATAATAAAATTATAAATGACAAGAATTTATGACTAGTTTTTCAATACAAAAAATGATATATATTCATAAGAAACCGTGATATTATACGAGAAGGCGCTAATAAGAAAAAGTGCAAGAATTATTAACCAAATTAAAGAAAATATAATACAAGTTAAGATTCTAGGATTTTATTTACCATTAACCCAATTCGGGTGTTTCTATTTTGACTAATTTTTCACTCTTTTCTTCTATCTTAACTGGCTCAGATTTTTCTAATTCGGATGCCCGTGCTTTTTCTATATTAACTGGCTTAGATTTTTCTAATTCAGATGCCCGTGCTTGTGTGTTGATTTGTTTTCTGTACTCTTTACTTATTTCAAGTAGTTCTTTTTGTTTTTTGTTGTAAATTTTTTTAATATACAAATTGCGCATTTTTATTGAATCATGTATGCATGATCATCTAGGTGGCATTTTAATGGAGTAAAAAATATGGATTTTGAAAAAACGAAGAGATATTATATAGAATATTAAATTATTACAAACACACTCTCACATATTAAATTACTTAATTGTTTAAAATTTCTTTTATTAATAAAAACAAAAAGTACACAATTGAGATTATTGTTAAAAATAAAAAATATAGACTATATATTATGATCTTAAAATAAAACCCATATATATTTATAAATAATTACTTTCCCGCATAACTGTATGGATTTTTGCAGTTGATTTGGCTACTGCCATAGATAATTATTAGATGAGTTCACCAAGGCAGCCATTCAAAGTCTAGATCAGATAATAAAATGCTGCATAATTATTAAGATTGTGGATCATACTGTATATGCAGCTCCTGCTTGCAGCTTTATTGTTATGATATACTACTGCTACTGGTTATTCAAGTGTTGTAACGATAGTTTGAATCATATAACCCAGACTTTTGGTGGTCACTATGGCGAACTGCTCTATATAAGAAATTTTAAAAATAATCGTTAATTATTTTAATAAGCTAAGTCAACTAGTGTAACAATAATGCAACGACATTATATAAATAACCCAAATGATAACAGGTGGCTATTTATATAATTGGTAAATCATAGCCGCAGCAGCTACGCCATCGATCTGCTTTAAGAAAGCTACTCTTCTTAACTAGCCCAAGGCCAAACTTTTTAGAAACCAGATTAGAACTGAATTCTAATTGTTACTTAGCTTTTGTAAATTCTTTGTATAAACAATAAGAAATTATTCAATAAAAATTTTTGAGATAATAATTAAAAATTAGCTTAATAATTTTTAAAGCAAAAAACCTCTAATCAGCATCATAACTAATACGTAATTGTTTATAATCACCTTAATGAATTGGCCATTTATTGAAAAAGTAGAATCTTAGGAATAAATAAATTTAAAATAAATTAGTGATAATTATACAAAAACGAATATATAAAAGAATAAGATCTAAAATATATACTCATCTAAAAACATTTATATTGCAACTAATTTAAAATCTACAATATTTAAATTTTTATCATTAATAGTTTTTATAATTTTTTTTTAAAAAATCACCAATGGAAATTCCGGAGGATTTGGTGCATTTTTTTGAATCTTTAGATATTACTTTTACCTTAAATCCTCAAGAAATGGAGTACGATAAAGAAGAAGCAGAATATGAAGAAATGGAATACGACAAAGAAATAGCAGAAGACGTTCAATTTGAATCAGAAACTGATTCAAATACTGAAAAAGCCACAGCAGAAGAACCTGAGGAAGTTCCTGAAAAATATCAAGATGCAGTTAATAATTTAGTTAACAGGCTTAAATCATGTTGTTCGTGTAAGGATAAATGTAGTAAAAAAGTTTCGTCAAGCCTATTACAATCTTTAGTATTAGAAAGTATTAAGATAAGTAAAAAGCAACAACATAATTCAATATCAATACTTATATGTTCTTCTGGTAAAGGACCGCACAAAAAACAAACTCATACCAAGTATCCACTACTATACTTTGGTGAAGTTTGTGTATTTTTTTTTTGAACATTTTGGTTATGTGGTAAAGATATGTTTTATTGTCTTCGTGGATGGGCCCAAAAAAAGCAAACAATGCTTCCTCCACCTTATAGTAATATTGGCCATTTAACAGTTAAACTACCTGTTAAAACAATTGATAAAATAAAATCTTTTATTAAAATAATTGGTAATCAACACAGTAAGGCATTAGCCATTCGAAAATATGTGCAAAAAAAAATAAATAGGCAGATAACAGTAAATATGAAAAAAATGATCTTGTCCTTCTTCTATCTCACTATTCCTATAATCGACTTTTAATTTTTTATAATCTAATGCATCCCGATAATTATGTAAGTAGTTGAAGCTTTCGAAAAATATGGAAAGATGATGTTGAGTTAAGTAAGACTGTAATTAGAAAACCATCTAAAGATGTATGCGATGAATATACTTTGTTTAAACGTGCATTAAAAGAAAGCAGTAATGTAGATGAAAACTTTAATAATCAACTTACCATACATATACATGATTATCGTTCTATGAGAGAAGCATACGAAAATGATATTCAAATGACAAAAGAGTGTGATCGATCTGAATTTCATGTTTTGTCTTTTGATTTCGCTTAAAACATTGAAATATCTCATGACCCTCAACAACTAGGAAGGTGGTATTATTCGTCATTGTTAAAAGCGCACCAATTTGGATTAGTGGAAAAAGATATTGACCGTCATTGGCATTTTCTTTATACAGAAGCAAAAGCAGCAAAGGGGGCCAACGAAGTTACATCCATGGTGCATCTATTTTTAACTTCTGTTGTAGGTAAAGTAAATGAAATTAAATTATAGGCAGATAATTGTGGTGGACAAAATAAAAACTCATGTCTTATATGGTATTTCATATGGGCCTATCATACCCAAATATTTCAAAAAATCGAATATTGCTTCCAGATCAAAAGGCATACTTGAAATTCTGTTAACCGAGGATTTGGTAATACTAAAAAAGAGTATGCTAGATCAGAGGTTTGGTGCATTGACCAGTTAGTTGAAGTAATAAATAGGAGTGCGAGTAATAATTTTTCTGTAAGCTTAGAAAATCAAATAGGACTATTTTGTGATTGGACTTCTGCACTTAGCTTATTGTACCATAAACCTCCAGCAATTCAAAAATACCATTTTTTCCAGTTTAGTAGCGAAAATCCTGGTATAATGAAAGCTAAGGCTAAACCCGCTGATCCATGGGATGAATTCCAATTATTAAAACCAAATGCCAATGCTGAGAGTTTAAATCCTCAAAAGCTTCCATCAAAAGGTCTTTCTGAAGAAAAACAAGTTGATCTTTGGAATAACATTCACCAATATTGCCCTATTGCTTTCCGTGACAAATTTTGCTCAAAACCAAGTGATAATTTAATTGAAAGGGTTGGAAATTGGAAAAGGGTCCGTGCAAAAGAGGCACAACAAAAACAAAATGGCAAAAAAAACCATAATGAGTTATGTAATTAGTTGTGATTTGATAATACAAAATAAAATAAAAAATACCTATACCTATTAGATTTTAAGTTACTAAAGCTTTTAATGTTCCCAAGTAACAAACTCAACGATCTGGGAATTCAAAAATCCCATTTTACTTGTGATTAAGAGAACCATATTTAATACGAATCATTATCGTTATCGTGTTCTGATAAGATCATTATTGTGTTACCGAAACTACTAGAACACTCATTTCCTCAGGGGTTAAAAAAAATTTATTTTCCTGGTTTTTATTCTCACGCACTCATATATATATTATGAACTTTTCCGGGTCCCTGGTCTTAGTTATATTGTCGCCCGTATTGGGCCAAAATTTACCCTATGCGTTTATTTCGCGACGATATAGCGATAGTCAATTACTAAAGAGGATTTATTTCCCTGCAAGCAAGTAATCGACCAATCGGGTAATACACTATTCAGGTATATGGGATCTGCGCAGTTAACAGTGACTTTTAACAAACATGTTTCGTGTTCGTCAAATTATTTCATCCAAATTTGCAAATCATACTGAAAGAATTCGTGCTATTCGCACGTTTTCGACGAGCATTCGTTCTTTGCAACCCGTTTCACCTGTAAATTCTCTTAATATAAAACGTACAACACCATTATTTATTAATGGTGATTTTGTGGAATCAAAAACAGATAAATGGATACCGTTATATAATCCTGTATGTTTTTTATATATATCGAGATTTTTTTTATCCTTGCAATTCTTAAATGTCTTTAATTTTCACTTTTAGGCAACAAATGATTTGGTTACTCTCGTTCCCGAAACCACTCCTGAAGAATTAAAAGCTGCTGCTGATACTGCTGCTGAGGCGTTTAAGACCTGGAGAAAATCTTCTATTCTTTCGCGGCAACGTATTTTATTAGACCTTCAGCTTTTGATTCGAGAACACACTGACAAAATTGCAAAAGCTATCACTGAAGAGCAAGGAAAAACCTTCGCTGATGCAAAGGGTGATGTTTTACGAGGGAGACAAGTTGTTGAAACTGCTTGTGGTATCACTAATTTGCTTATGGGTGAGCAATTGACCGTTTCTACCGATATGGACACATATACTATTCGAGAACCATTGGGTGTTACTGCTGGAATCTGTCCTTTTAACTTTCCCGCAATGATTCCGTTATGGATGTTTCCTTTATCAATTGCTGCGGGGAACACTATGATTCTTAAGCCTTCAGAACGTGATCCCGGTGCTGCACTGATCCTAGCTCAATTGGCCAAAGAAGCTGGCGTACCAAATGGAGTTCTCAATATTGTTCATGGTTCTATTGACACTGTAAACTTTTTATGTGATGATGAACATATAAAAGCTATCTCTTTTGTCGGAAGTGATCGCGGTAACTTTAAATATATATATGAAATCTTTTAAATCGAGAAAAAACGATTTTTAACATTGTTGTCATATTTTTTTTTGAATTATCAGCTGGAAAATATATTTATAAGCGAGGGACTGCAAACGGCAAGCGAGTGCAGGTTTGTATAGAATTTTATACCTTTGTTTTATTATTCTTATACAAATAAGTAACTTTTATTTAAATTTATTAATAGGCAAACTTAGGCGCGAAAAATCACGGCGTTGTTATGCCCGATGCCAATAAAGTTTGTGAATTTATATTAATGAAATTTGTTATTTTGAAGTGGCCGCTGACTTAAAACATTATTATTATCGTGATAGAACTATACGCTTAATCAGCTTGCTGGCTCTGCATTTGGTGCAGCTGGACAACGTTGCATGGTAATTTTTGCTTACTTGGATCTTGCTAAACCAAAATTTATTAGATATCTATAATTCAATTTGAATAAATTTTTGTGAAGCTTATTAAGCGTTAAAAAATTAATACCGTATTGTCGCGAAATAGCGCGCAGGGGATAATTTCAAAATTTGGCCTAAATTAAGGCTATTATTTTAAATGACGCCCATAGGCGTTATTCGCGACAATACGGTAAACAGTAAAAGTTTGTTCAAATCGGATTATATTTAATATAATATATATAATATAATATAAAATTTTCAGTATTAAAGCCTTTCAAACTTTCTAGGCGCTTTCTACTGTTGTGTTCGTCGGTAAGGCAAAAGAATGGATACCAGAACTTGTTGATCGTGCACGTAAACTCAGGATTTCGGGTGGGATGGAACCTGATGCGGACCTTGGACCTTTGATCACAGGTCAAGCTAAAGAGCGCGTTGAAAACCTAATCCAGAGTGGTGTTGATCAAGGTGCAAAATTGATATTAGATGGACGCAATCCAACAGTTCCGGAAAAGTACAAGAATGGAAACTTTGTCGGTATGTATAATTTGTTTTGTGATTAAAAGCGCCTTAATCGCAATATCGGTTTATAAAATTAATGTATTTATTATAGGACCAACTATTTTGGCGGATGTTAAACCTCATATGGAATGTTACAAGGTCATTAAATGCAACATAATTGTAATTTAATAACCTGACCTTATAACCTAACCTTATGATTTTATAAACAATTATAGGAGGAAATATTTGGTCCTGTTCTTGTTGCTTTAAATGTCGATACCCTTGATGATGCTGTTGAATTGATCAATAATAATCCTTATGGAAATGGTACTGCTATATTTACAAGCAATGGGAGCAATGCACGTTATTTTACAACATCTATTGAAGTTGGACAAATTGGCGGTATTTATTCATTTTTCATTTATTCTCCAAAGTTGTAAAATTCTCTAAACTTTTTATTGGATTGATATTTTTGTGTATAGTAAATGTTCCAATTCCGGTTCCTTTACCAATGTTTTCATTTACCGGAAATAAGGCTTCTATTCAAGGAGATGTTAATTTCTGCAAGTATTTTTAATTACATATTTTTTTAATTATACTTTAAATGTTGTTCTTACAGATATCTATATGTAAATTAGATGGAAAAAGTGGGCTACAATTTTACACACAAACAAAAACAGTAACCACTTTATGGAGACATGAAGACGTTGATCATACAAAATCAGCTGTAACAATGGTAAGCAAAAAAAAAAAAATTTTATATGGCGTTTATATTTTAATCTCACTACATTAATTTAAAAAAAATTCTTTCATTATATAAAAGCCGACAATACAATAATTATTGTAATTTTCTTTGTATTATTTATTTTACTTTATATCATTAAGCTAAATGCTAAAATTTATACTTTATAATACAATATTTCGTACATATCATATGTATATATTACGAGAATTAGTCTAGAAATTAAATTTTCAATTAAAGAAAAAAAAAACCAAAAATAAATATTCTTAATTTAATTCTAATAATGAAAATAATTATTTTCTTAATTTTGTTGAAAAATTAAAAATCAATTTGTGAAAGCCGGTAAAACTATAAGATTTTTGTGAAGGTCCTTCAATGTTTCAAGCGATGGATTTTGATAAGGAAAAAATGAAATAAAATAGTTTAACGGTGATATCTATTAAGATAAAATAAATATTAAACCTTGAGTTATTAAATTGTATTAGATAAAAATATTAAAACTAACCCATTTTGCCAAGTGTGGTGGCCATAATTTTTCAACTTTGTTCGTTCCATCATTAGGCTTCTTAAGATATGCAGGTCCATAATCTTGAAAAATTTGGTTCCTCAACACAATTCTATAATATATAGATTTTTCAATAGTTTGCAAAGGAGCATGAAAATGATAAAGCTGTGACATGTATTTACCCAAATAATAAACTGGCTAGCTGAAACCAATTTTCTCCTGTTTTAATTGTAGAGTAATAAACTAATTGGTCGACAATGTAATAGTATTGAAATTCAAGGTCTAGCATCTTTTTCTTAAAATCCTATTTGTTGAAAAATAACTCAGATTATTAAATAATTAATGTTAATTGAAAATATAATTTCGCACCATACCTCATCGTTACAAGTACTAAGTAATGGAAGATTCTGGGAATTACGATTAAAATTATTCAGAAAATGCACAGTACGATTTTCAAGAACGCCAAAAGCATATGAAGCTTTGTAACCCGATGCCAGCTATATATATATTTGGAAGAAAACAAAAGTGAATAACATCTAAAGTGTAATGCTAAAATTAGCTAAATACTAACCTGAAAATTTGTAAAGTAACCAAAGCTTATTCTAAGCGGTATCCAGTAATTTTCTGACGGCCGATTTCGATTGTACACCGTAACATGCTCTTGAATATATTTTTCCTTATAGTGAGGATAAAAATGAATTAGTTTTTGATTTATCGTGATAAAAATTTATTGTTATATATTCACGAAGCAATGGACATGCTCGAATTAAACTTAATTCAGGCGTCATCACACCCTGAACGTCATTTCGTGAATATACAAGTGACATTACACACCCTCCTTATACTTTCAACATTTTTCAATAGAGCTTTAACATTTGGTCGTACAATAATACGATGATCCGTTTTTGGAGCAACCTCTTTATTGGAATGGGAGATGTCCAAACTGAAATACATTGTGTCATTTACTATTTCATATTCTAGTGAAGTATCAAGTAAATTCTTAATCATAATTTCTCGAAATTCTTGATCAAACTGTACGGTAAATTCATCATCATTGCAATTAGATTCTTGTCGACATATTTTTCCTAATTAAAAATATGTACTTGTTAAGTAAAATCGTAAAAGTTACGCAATATTTTAATGTTACCTGTTAAAGCCGAGTCCTCATAATCCACTCGTAATGAAGGGATTTTACATTCTGCTTTTAATCTAACAGTTTGCTGATAATCCTTTACAAGTCTACAATTTACATATATTTCAATAATTTTCTCCTCTATTAACTCGGGATCCTTTAAACCATTGTCTAAAGATTTCTGAATTTCTCGAGAAGGAAGTGGTCGGAAATATATGTAGACTCGCACATTACTTTCAGGCTCAACAGTAAGTGTTTTAAATAACTTTGCGGATATTCTTGATGTGGAAAACACTATTTCTGTCGGATCATCATAATCAAGATCTGTTTGGAACTGTTAAACAGAAATGGGACATAAAAATCTCGTTTTCAGATTTCGATAGCTATTAGGATTTTTGAGAATATGCATACCGTAAATTGGAGAGGGACAGTCTCTCTATTATAAATCACCATGCTACGAGCAGAATATTCAGATCCATAAAAAAGGTTGAGCATCTCAATCCAGGTGTGGCTAATATCTACACCGTTCACGTAAATATCAAATACGTGATTATTGGGAAGTGGAGTATTGGTTCCTCGCCTTAAATTTTGGCGTGCGACAACCTGTAATTCACAAAATGGTAAGAAAACGATCTGATTATTGGTCATTGAGCAATCAAACATACAAACCTCCATCATAACTCTTATAGTCTTGATATCTGAGGGGTTATTTAAATTTTCGATAATTAAATAAGTGGAATAAATATTCCTGGCGTTCGTAGAAAAACTCAAAGTGATTGTATGAGCATCTAATGATGTCTCTAGTGTTCCTTCGATTCGATTAATATTAAGCCAATTTTTGTCGTTTTCGAAAACTGTTTTAAGACGGTAGGAAATTTGTTGAGAAGTTAAATTCTCGAGTGTCAGTTTTTTTACAATGGAAGAAGATCCGAGATCCTGTTGTCCAAGATCTAGTTCATATCGATCACCAGGGTCAGCGGCTCCTCCAATTCTTTTGCATCCGCGGAGAGTTATAAAAGGAAGATCGGATGAGGATTCCAGATACGTGCGCCTACTTTCCAATGGTGGTAAAGGTTTATGAATAAAATCTACAGTTTCAAATGTTACAGAATCAGATATATCTTCAGATCTAGGTATTCTCTTTGTTTTGCTGCGATGTTCTCTAGTGTCGGACTCAATACTAACAAAAATGGTCCTCTTTTGTCCACAGAGCGATAATAAATCTACAATATGAATCTTAATGTCCTCTGATATTGCTACCGCAGAATTGACAAAGTCAACTCCTAATGAGAGCTTTTGACCTGCTTCTACAGTCCCACGTCCATTTTCATCCAAAGGAGTAATATTAATATCTTTTGCAGAAAATTCCATCGGTCCTTCAATTTGAACTCCAAAAGAAAGGGGAATTTTGTCTGAATTATTGGTAATAATGATCGAATCATTTTGAACGAACGCATCCTCCGAGTCGCTAGTAACTGAAGGCTCCTCCGATATATGTGAGGATACCTTTTGCTTATGAATCGAGATCGATTGGCTTTTAAAGTGATCTTCATCAGTAATTTCACCATCCGAAGACCATGTAGTCTTGAACAGAATCCTTTGAGGAGATGTGGAGAACATTACAGATTCCGTGATAACACCACGAATGGGTATATTTTCAGCAACTTTCTGATCTATATTATCATTCTGCTTTGTTGCAACCCAAAGATTTCCAAAGATTATACTGTTATAATCTGTGAGATAAGAATATTCACAAGGTATACGCCTTTCTTCAATCGGATAAACGCGTACTCTGACTTCTATAGAACCATTACCACTAATTGATACTACACCAACTAACGGAGAATTGGAATATCTGGAAAGAACATCAACTTTTACAAATTGGGACACATCAGGTTTGAGTTCTACTCCAATTTCGAACCGAATGTCTTGGTCGCTCACGTTAAGGATTGTAAACCAAGCATCACATGGAACGTCTGATGAAGGAATTGGATGGTAAAGTGTAGGCATTACTAGTTCACCTTGCGTTAGACGATCAAATTTAAGCTCGGTGAGCATTGAATTGACTTTTAAAGTTAAGACGTTCGAAGGGTTGTACGTATTAAGAACATTAACTATAAATGTGCGTTCACCAGCAGCAAAATTGGGTATTAAACGAGGTTTGAGTGTTGCTGTAATAATTTGGTCAACATGTGGCTCTACTATATGCTTAAGAGCAACCACTTGATTAGAATTATTTGAATTATCATTAATTTCGATATAATCAGGGCTTTCCAATTCGTAATTTAACGGTATGTCAGATGTATTCCTCACAGAGAATCGAAATTGCACGTCAGACCAAGAATTTGAATAACCTATACTCCCAAGATTCACGGTAGGTGTGCTCAATTCCCCCTTTGAGACGCAGAATGTAGCACAAACATCAACCAATTTTACGACGAGGTTTTGAATTTCATCGATCAAGAAGAATACACCTTGAACGCTAACATTTTTTCCATTTGAAATAATATTTAATTCTTCTTGAGTTAAAGAATTCGGTTGTGGACAGCTTAAATAAATACGTGCTTTATCTCCAGGTTTCAGTTCAAGTAAAGGTCCGCAAATTTTGAATGGAGAATAATGATGTTGTATTCTATCGTTTTGTATTTTAACTGCTCCAATATTTTCCCACCTAATCACTACATTTAAGTCACTCAAAGGAAGAATCTGCATAGTCTGAGTAGATGATTTATTACAAATTTCAGCAGATTGTTCATACAATGGAATGGAGGTCGCTCGGCGCTCTTTTTGAATGAAAGCTTGAAGTTCTTTATTCACACATCCCTTAACTTCTCCCTCAACGGATAAATTTGATAAATTTGATCCAAAATTGCTGACTGATGTAAACACATTCTCCCAGGAAATAATTGGTAAATTTTCAGAGTCCTTTGTCATTCCATTATCATCTTCAGTCAAGAACGAAAGTGTGTTTGGATCAACAAATAGCCGAACCTCAATTTCGACGACCTGACCTGCATTATTTTTATTTGTTACAATAATCTTGTCTTGAAAAAGCCCGTACTTACACGACGTAACACGAAAATTAATAAGCGCTGAAGATTTATCATTAATGTCATTTTTACAAATGACTTCATTAACATCAGATGACATGGTATTATTACTTGAAGATTCATTTGAATTGTATTTACATTCCCATCCTTCAAGTGTGCCACCAGAACGATCCAAATTGATATTACCACTGGAACATTCAACCACATAATCTAGCGGAAGACGACTAGACATGTTACGTACAGTGAAAGAGCCATAAAATGTTTCACCCACAACTGTAGTCGAACCAAGATTTATTAAAGAGTCCGAAACCGACAATACAGAACGACCAATTAAAGATGTGAACTTGACGGTCTGAGTGATTACAGGAAACAACTCATGCCCCGATTCTTTATGCTTCATGTCTACAGCACCAGGATCAGAATTCATAGTCTGGAGCTCATCAGCTTCTTTAACTTGGATTGAAAATTTAATGCCACCGATTAATATACGGCATTCGCCGTTTGCAATCGCATTTCGATCAACTATG